CCGCTTACTAAGGCAAGAATCCAAAACTTGACCGTTTTTGCAACTGGTCCTGATTATATTAATGGAATCGGCTCAAATTAATCTACCAAAACATTTAGGTAAACTCATTAGTTGCTCTTATGAGTTACGGCTTTCTAATCATAGAGATTAATTTCCACACACTGATAGTTTCTGATTGAAACGCCGCAAGATTCTTCGCTAAGGTCATTTTTCTTTGTTGATCATCTGTGAAACAAACGTTCAGATTCGCATTAATCTAGCCCAATGTTTAAGTGCTTAAAGCAACAAAGTTACATGATGGGATGAGTTCAACTTCTCACTGTTTACCTCTAGGATCAGACGCTTGAAGAATGTGGTTTATAGAGTTTATTTTTACCTGTTCCAGGCGCCGTGTTTTTATATCTCAGTGGCCAAGCCTCGTGTATCTAAGGTTCTTGCACTGTCATCACAGCTTAAATGAAAAGTTTCAAGGAACTTCATTATCTGCTCCAAATATATTGCTAATATATTTTGCCACTGATCATGCATTCAACCCAGAGTTCATGGACAAGAATTACATGTGACACTCTAAATGACCTGATGCTTCTCGAAGTTTCGTATAGCACCTGTCTTCATTGAGTTATTCAACGTATGGACCGAAATCTCTTAAAATGTTTGGTCAAAGGAAAGTCCGTTTGTTTCTGAAAGAATAACTGGTGAGGTGCAGTGGCGGAGGGTAAAGAGATCGAATTCAATCTCCGGAGGTACCGAGGTTGAGCTCCTGGCAAGAACGAAATTTGCCGGAGTGACTAACTGCCATTGGAAAAAAATTTGTCCTTCATCATTTCTGTGCAACAAACCAAGCAACGGGTAGTAAGTTGCTGGTATGTACACATCAGAACAGAATTGAGTTCTTGCGTTGTTATGCCAGAATGGGCGAGAGCTTCGACGATGCTGTCTACGCGTTTTAAGGTTTCAATTCGCCTTAACTTAACTAATAGCCGACTCTTCAATGCTAACATAATTTGTAACCTCCAAAAAATGCAATCAATGAGATTTGGGTGATATAATCGATTTGCAAAGATTGACTCCTCTTAGAAGGCCTACTGGAGTTGCCTTCTGCTCAATGTGGTTGTGAATATGGAGTGTGAATACTCAGTATTAAGAACTTCTTTGACGTTCCATGATCATAAAAGAATTCAGCGGGTGAGCAGTACGGTCGGAAAACCTCATCATGTTTATTCTTAAATTGGTATGAACGGCGGATGGCCCGCAATCCTTTCGAATGGGTGGTCTGCAGGGAGCTTTTCATTATTTCACACAGCTTTGCCTTGAAGACATAAAGAAAGTCTTAAGCTCTGACACCTTTCTGCAACTACGAACCCTCATTCCGATTGTTGTTCGCTCTCTGAAACGTAAATACTGAGGCCAATTTGTGGTAACCATTAATAGGGTGGACAATTGAGATTGTGCTAAACACGTCTTTATTTACACATTAGGTTAATGAATGCTATATTGTGGAGCATGGTCTATGCCCATGCCTTTTTCCTCCAACACTCTATTGCTAGCAGACTGAATTGCTATTAAAAATTCTGAGGCTGTTTGCCCTATCTGTGATGCTTAAACAGTACGGTAAAACGCGATACCGTTGCTGCCTCTGCGTTCATTCGTTACCCTTGACAGGGGTTACTGTAAATGCAGTTGTAACAGATTCTTGACCAAATTCTCACTGACTGATCATTTATTGGTTGAGAATAGTAGTTTAACGTTTCTGACCAAATTAGCTATAGGAGAATGCATCTCTCAGTACTTTACTTTACCACTGATTCACTCTGCTATACTATTCGCTACTTGAGTGATTGCATGCCATACACAACTAAGACGAGAAGTGCAGTTTTAATGATCAAGACAGACACTCGCTTTGCAAACGAGGTAAAATTGGAGCCGTATGATAGATCGTTGTTCTCCTCACTAATTACCTGCTGTTTTATAATTACTAATAAACCAGCATTCAGTACGTCTGCCACGATTTCTATCGACCTTCTGCCTCCATTTTGCTCTCGTTTCGACTTAAGGAATTTCCTTAACTGTTATTTTAATGATGCGTGTTTCATAGTACTTTAATCGATGCCCTGATCCGCAGCTTTTTATTCTTCCTAATCTCATGTTCCTTTGGTTCCTCCTGTTTATAGTTATTAAATCTGCTTTCGGCATTCTCAGTTTTATAAACTCGTTGTTACTGTCAGTTTATTTATTCAAATTTTGTAAAAACGATTTATGAACGAGTGACTAGTCCTGAATGAAGCAGATATGATTTATTCATCACCACATCTACCATGTGAATGACGGATGACAATTCATGAACTAAGTAAATGAAAAGTTCCAGCAATGCATGATGATCCTGAAAATGAGCAATAGTTCCATTGTGCCTCTTTGATGAACACGACATAAGAATCTGATATGAAGATGCTACTCAAACCTAATCGGTCACACTGCATTCTACTGAACGAATGCATCATGGTCAGTTTCAAACTTGTACAATCATACTCTCATCTCATTCAGGAGATGATATTTAGTATTTTTAAGGAAGGAAGCGCTACCTTGGCTTAGAACGATAGCCTAACAGTTTCAGTGATTTGCTGAAATATCAGTATAATATTAAAATTCAGAAAGTTTCCCTGCCCCTCCCCGTCAGCGTTATCATAAAAGATTTGTAATTATTCAAGGAATGGTGTATCAATTCAAGGTAACACAAAGAGAATCTCAAATTAAAGCGATGCTGGAATTCGGTGTGTCTGGAAGGTTTAATCTGATTATAACAGTAACACATGACATTAGCATATCACCCAAATAGGCATTATTTCATATTGTTTCATTCTGTGATCATTGCACGACAACTTTAATTTTAGCAAATCTACGTTTGATAGGTTTCTGTTGCAATTCTGAGTTCCCTTCAGCTATGCATTGGCTGAAGATGGGCAAAGCTTGAAAATGCTATGAGATACTGAGCAAATCATTTCTCTCATAGGAGAATTAGACGCATGTACTATCTGTTTAAAGGTCGAAGGACAGCTACATGGAAGGTTCTCTATTACCTGTAGAGTTCAGCAGAAAGATGTACTTTTGCTTTCAGTAATCTTTTCGACTTTCTTCTTGAAAATAAAGCTGACCTTGGCAAAAATGTCTCATTTCAGAGATAGGTGCAGTTCAAGATATCCGACAGGGTATTTAACCGATCGGGAGAACGCAGGTGATATTGTCTTGGCAGACAGTACTGACAGTTGGATCTGTCAAGCGAGCACTGTCATTTCAGAGGTTTCATATGCAAAACTGTTGCGAAAGCCGGCATCTTCCTTAACGCAGGGAAGTCGAAACTTATGAGAAGCCAATCGGACACAGACGATCTACAAGCATAAGATAGTGGTGAAACACTTCAGTGGGTTTACCAGCTTAATTATCTCAGCTCAGTCACCTTCAGCAATGGCACAGTTCAGCCAGAGTTAAACAGAAAGATCGCCGTAACCTGGAGCAATTTCGGAAACTTGTTCGAAATTTTGGCTGAGAAAGGATAATTAATCTTCTTCCATAAATATCCGCTTCTGCCTTGTCTCTGTCGAATCAGTGCTTTTGTACGGAATAGGAGGCAGTAAATCCAATTAAAGAGCAAAACAACAATTGAACTGTGTATAGCAGCGTTGGCTGAGGATTAGCTGAGGATTAAAGGTCACGCAATCAATTAATTTACTGTGTTCTAAGCAAGGTGACCTCCGTCGATGCAGCGATTAAGAAATGGCGACTGACAAACCGGAATTGACTATAGATCCCAGATTGTGAGCTTCTCCTGAAGAAGCCGAAACATGCACCACGAGGCCAGCACGCAATATGGAGAAATAAGGTAGTGGCAAATGCGCCTTGAGAGAGAAATTTTCCTTTCTAATGCGCATTCACTGATGCCTTATAGCAAAAGCAATGATAAGCTGCGGATACAGCGGATATCACAACCTAGAGACTCGATTTATGCAAATGACTTAAGATGATGATCTCAACAAACACACAAGCACATTCGATGAACAAATATGTATTGATCAATTGTGAAGCAAACTGGTTTTCCTACCACTAATAGATAAACAAAGCGCTCACATATTCGCAGATTGTAATTATGGGGAACAAACAAGGTCTATACCACCTGTCGCTGAACATTGGTAGTTTTACGACATGAACTGACGAATGCAATAAAGGAAAGTTGATCATCTTTGGAATGTTGAACGTCTTCCTTCAGTATCATGATTCAGCCATTTTGGCGTCCTTCTTTCAAAGAGGTTAATTGTTTGATGCTGATCTCCGTTTATATGCCATCATTCAGGAGTGCCTTATTTTTTAAGGTAGAATCTGCAGCCATATGTCTAACGTAGAGTGTAGTCTGCTCTTTCCCTTCCACAGACTGGTACTCATGTATCAATCTCTGAAGGAGGGAGGATGAGTGACACCGACTAAGGCTCACACTCAGAATCTGTCGGTTATTCTACCATCTGGGCAACCTTGGTCTGAAGCAATGTATGGTAAATTCCTCCTTGCTCAGGTTAATTCGTGATTAAGTCAAAGATTTCCCTTGAGCCGAATCGAACCCTGCACCTTCGGTGTTCGAAGCAAAGCTCTTAGACAACTGTGTCAACAACACGCCACACCCAAAGGTGAACTGATGAAAGCCTGAGGTTCTTTTGCATCGTTTCGATATTGCCTTTATCCAGGCCGTCTTTTCTAAAGGATAATTCATGCCTTTAGCATTTGTTATGCAACATTATTTATAAATGACATATTCAGTGGCTTGAATCATGAAGGCTTCTAACAAGACATTGTTAGATGTCTTGTTCGAAAAAATGAAGATATTTTATGGTAATGTGATAACAGTCCATCTTTAAAGTTATCTCTTTGGAGAGGGTTAAAATTCACCTGATAATTAGCTACTCATTCTTGTGATCCAGCGCAAGTGTCAGGCAAAAAAATGAAGAAAACGAAGACATGATATGGTACGTATGTTCAGCTTCATGCTTAAACGCCTAAGCATAAATAACTTATGCTCTTAACTTCACGACAATGCATGAATTACTTTTAGTGCAAATACGAATTCAAGAAAGGGTGCAACTTTTTGGAGGGCCGTTGGACTTTTCATACAGTTTGATGCAGTTTCACTTTCACTGGGGCCCAAATGACACCGTTGGATCAGAGCACTCGTTCGCACGCACTCATTTTCCATTGGAGGTACTTTTGTCGATCGAATCTTGTCGACGTGCTATGATCTACATAACTGTTGATGAAGGCGCATTTCGTGTTCCGGAACGAAATCGTTGACCTGGAAAAGATTCAAGGCATCAATAAGGGCATAGCAGTGGTGGCGGTGTTTTTTCAGAAAGTGGAACAGTCGCCGGAGCACTCTTCGTTGTCGACCATCACGGATTTTCTCTCAAGGGTAGCTTTCATAGGTATGTGTGTTTAACTCTTACTTCGTGAAATCAAGGCTGTGTTGCAGGCGAACGCACAACTTTACCATCCCCGATCAAACTGGACGATCTCTTGCCAAAGAATCGCAATTCCTACTTTTACTACTCCGGATCACTGACCACACCACCCTGCTCAGAAGTTGTTGAATGGATAGTTTTGAACCATCCATCGAATGTTACAGAAGAGCAGGTATATCCCATTTGATAGTTAAATGTCTATTTCTATTAAGGGTTTTAAATTGCAAATTTTTTTTTAATTTTTGTGCCGATCATGATTTTCACCTAACGCGTGAATTTAAATTGCGCACGGCCGCTAGTACATAACTAGCATTGTTTAACTCCAGTATGCTTACATGATGGTCTCACACGGTCCCATTAGTTGCTGTTGTCGATTTCTTACTTTGGCCACACTGGAATAAAATATCAACCGGTACATGCATAGTAGAATTAATCATACTTCGTTGTTTGTTTATGGAGTATCGTACAGATCAGACATCCTTTGGTTAGAGAGGCTACAGATCAGAATTGAAACTCGTTGTCGAGACTGTTTATGCATCTACATAGGCAACTCGTCGACCCGTTTCCAGGATTTGATGTAAGGAATGGATGCTAGGACTGCCTAACAAGCGCACGAATAACCAAGGTAAAGTTTGTAGGGTATGGTGCCGAGAGATGTTTCACCAGAACAAAATCACTGCCATGTCGCCCCAGGTACAACGATAACAGATATGGTCCGAGCGCAGAAGCCTTCACTTTACTTCAATTCAATCTCCATCACTGCATCTCCTTTCGGGTCGCAGAGACAGACTCGTCAGCCAGTGCTTCCAACGTTCCTGATCCTGTGCCAGAGTCTGAGCTTCGGCAAAAGACAAATGCACTCTGGAACAGACTCCTTACATATGTTTGCACCAGGTTAATCTTAGCCGTCCCCTGGGCCTTCTGCCGGTCGGATTTGCAAGGAACAGTTGCTTAGCCTTCCTTTCTGGAAGCATTCCCAACACATGCCCAAGCCATCGCAGCTGTGACTTTTCAATCTGGAGAAGCAGAGGTTATACAGTAAGGCTCTCCCGGATGTCAGTATCCCGGGCCAGGTCGAGACGCGTAGGGCCAGCGACTCGTCTAAGAAAGCCCATTTCAGCAGCCCGGGTTCGAAGTTTTACAGTGACGGTCTAAGACTCATGACCGTAGGTAAGCATGGGGATAAAGATCGACTTGAACACCGAGAGCCTAGTTTTCAGACTCAGCTCTGCTTTAGTCACGATGGTTCACGCAGAACGCCAGTAGCGATTCCAATCTATCGGTTGATCTCTTCTTTCCATTTTTTATCACAAGCAAATGCAATCTTGAGGCAATTTAACTTATCCAATTGTTCCATTGCTTTTCCGTTAATCTGAAGAGAGCAACAAGCACAAAACGAAACAGCACCAGGTCTTTCGTTTAGATGTCGGCAACGTCACATTCAGCAGCAAATCTTGCCACAGAATGCTGGAGATTACTTTGAGAAGTTGCAAGTAAACGAAGGTCGTCTACAAGTAGCAACCTTCTTGTCTTCGCATCTTCGACGCTGTCACACTCATCTCTTTGGATACGTTTGACTATTCTATCCATATAAAACACAAACAGGAGAGGGAACAGGACGCAGCCTTGATAGAGACCGGTGCGAACGTTGAAAGGTTTCGAATTAATGCCATTTACTCTGACGCAGCACCTGCTCTCAGTATATAGCCATTGGACGGCCTGTGTAGCAACTGGCCATCGATCCGATATATTAGCAGGCTGTAGGGTGGGATCTGGTCATACGCTTTCTCTAAGTCAACAAAGAACATGCACACCGGATGGGCGAAGTCCCACAGTTTTCAACATCCTGGCATATCGCCAATATCTTGTCAAATGTACTTCGGTCAGGCCGGAAGCCAAACAGCTCTGCCTAGAGTCAGACATTCCGCACCTTTCTTGCTAGCACCTTCACGTAGATTTTACCTGGGAGACTGAATAAGACAATGCCCGATAATTGGAGCACTCCCCATATTCCTTATTCTTGAGCAGGACTAGTACAACTACTGTTCTCCAGTCCGCTGGTGACGTTCCCATAGCCGTTGCCGTTTGACAGGCGAATAACTCTGCAGAGGCTCTGATCGCCTAATGCCTAAAACATTTCAGAACGGATACCATCGATTCCATCAGCCTTTCCGCTTTTCATACTTTTCACAACTTTTTCTATTTTATCAACACAGTAGTAACGTCCCTTCCTTATTTCTTCTCAGGCGAGTCTTCCTGCGGTTGTTCGGGGCTACGGAGTTTTCCAAACTTAGATTTTTCATCGCTGTAGAATGTTTTTATCCTCGATAATAGGGCTTCTAGACCTCTCCTTCAATAGTCTTAGACTGGCCTTCTTTTCTTCTCGAAGCCGGGGGACGGTCTGCCGGAATACCTTGTTTTCCGCGTGGAAATTCCACTTCAGCACCTACCAAATTCTCCTAGGAGTCAATTTTGGCTTTCAGCACCATCTTCGCTGCCGCCTTGCCTTTATGCCACATGAAGGCTGAAAGCTTTTTGTTTACAAGTCATTTCCTGTATACAGCATTCTTCTCTTTAACTGGCAGGTGTACCTCTCGTGTTCACCATGACGATCTTTTCTGACCTCCAGGCGGCAGGTCAACCCGTTTATATCCGCAGCATTCGGCGGCAACCTCGAGTATGCCCCTCTTAGAGCTCAACTCAACATCAGTCGTCATCAGCGGGATCTGTTCAAAC